GATGATGAACACGCAATTTCCTGTCCCACTTTGAGATTATGCATGCAACTTTTCTCAGCATTGAATCCATAAAAAAGAATCATAACTAGGTTTTAAATTGAAAAATTAGAGGGAACCAAAACTTTTGTTTAGTTGAGGGACAAAAATACTCAAACTTAAATTAAAGGGCAATCAATGGATGGGTTTTTCCACGAACGTAGCTAGCTCCCAGATACTTTCCCTTTGGATTAAGCAAAACCCTACACACTCTACCCAATCACCTCACCTTGCCACATTTCATATAGAGACCTTTCCACTTTTGTTTCTAATGGCTACTTTTTTTAGGGTTATAAATACAATCACAATTCATTTCAGGATGAGAAGTACAAAGAGAGAAGGGAAAGGAAGGATTTTGAGCAAAAACCCAGATGGATTTGTCTTCCTTTTGGACGTCCCTAGGGACGTCCTTCGTCCTTTTTGTCATTTTTATGTTGCTTTTCACCTGGCTTTCGTCGAGGCCGGGTAACGCTGTAGTGTACTACCCAAATCTGATTCTGAAAGGTCTGTATCCAGCTGACGGCAGGTCCTCCACTCGGAACCCGTTTGCGTGGATTCAGGAAGCGTTGTCTTCTAGTGAGCAGGATGTGGTTAATATGTCTGGAGTTGACACAGCCGTGTACTTTGTGTTCTTGAGCACAGGTAAATCTCTCTATTTCTATCTCCTCTGCTTCTAGTCGCCTATTAATTCTCTGTGCAATGTTGATTTTTGAGAAATGTTTTTCTATACGGATAACACTAAAAGTGCCGTTTAGGCACTGAAATTACCGAAGTAACTTTAATAGAAATTTACCAAAACCGGTACATTTCTCCCCTGTTTTCTTATTGTCGTTTTCCCATTCGTTACAAGTCCCCTGTTTTTGGCTCTAATACTCTATTGTAGGGATAGCAGGTTTTAATTGTTATCCGTATGCATTCATGCATTTGATTTGATGTCACGTTACATTGCACAAAACATTGTACCAAAAAAATTGAAGCCGAATCTTCTCCGTTGAGGACAAAAGAACACAAAAATTCTGATGAGTTTCCTTTTCCTAATTAATGTGACAGTGCTTGGAATTTTGGCTTTCTCTGGTGCAATTCTGCTGCCGGTTCTTTTACCAGTGGCTGCAACTGATAGGGCCATAGTTGATAGTTTGGTAAACTCAACGTCAAATTCGACGTTAAATGCAACTATTAGTGGCACAAAGTCGATGTTAAATTCGACAATCAATGCGACTTTCAGTGAACTGGACAAGTTATCGATGGGAAATGTCAAAGTAAGCAATAGGAACTTCCCTTTTTTTTTTTTTTTCTCGAAAGAGGACAATTACATTTCATTATTACACTAAGGGGATGGGGAAAGAGGAACCGTGGGACTGGAACAACTAACCTAGAGGTGTCCCCCCACTAACCAAGTGGCACATGCCACTAGGGTGGAACGTAGGGAAAGCAATACAAACTTCTCACGAACTAGGAGACAACATTTATTCTTTTTCCCCGTGATTGAATTTCCAATATGATTGATTAGCAGGGCTTTCTGAGTTGCAGAACCTCTGGAATTGACACCAATTCTGTAAATTCATATGGTTTACTTTTACTTTGTATGCACAGGAAAAAAGCCCAAGGTTGTGGGCATTCTTTATAGCTACCTACTGGGTTTCTTTTGTCACATATTACTTGTTATGGAAGGCTTATAAACATGTTGCTGAACTAAGAGCTAATGCCTTAATGTCTTCTAAAGTGAGACCTGAGCAATTTGCTGTTCTTGTAAGAGACATGCCAAATCCCCCTACGGGTCAAAGCAGGAAACAACAGGTTGATTCATATTTTAAAGCTATCTATCCCGAGAAATTCTACAAATCTCTGGTAGTCACAGACAACAGAAAGGTATTTGGTTCCTCAATCCATCTATTCTCATTTTGTATCAATATTGCTGTATTGGTTGCATATAAGTAATTAAGTTTTCTTTGAGTCCTATCTTTTGTCATGACCACATGTTTCGACGATTTTCTTAGATAGGAAAATAATCCTTCAATTTGTTGTCTTTGTTGGATGTTCTTGAACTGGAATCCATGTGCAAGTCTAGTTTTATAAAATTGAATGCAGTAACCCAAATACAATATTAACACTGATTTTAAGCTTTATCTTGTTTGCATTCATTTTAGGTTAATAGAATCTGGAAAGAATTGGAAGCTTACGAAAGGAAGCTTGCGCATGCAGAAGCTATATATGCAAAATCAAAGAAGAAAAAAAATGCAGAAGGAAAAGGAATAAGACCAAAAAACAAAACTGGCTTTCTTGGTTTCACTGGCAAAAATGTTGATAGCATAGATTACTACAATGAAAAGATCAATGAACTAACCACCAAATTGAAAGCTGAACAAAAGCTTACTGTTCAGCAGAAGCAGCAAAGTTCTGCACTAGTTTTCTTCAACAGTCGGGTGACTGCAGCTTGTGCTAGTCAAAGTTTACATGCACAGATGGTCGATAATTGGAGTGTTATAGATGCTCCTGAGCCTCAACAACTTATATGGAACAATCTGAAAATCAAGTTCTTTCAGAGGCAAACACGACAGTATGTTGTGTATCTCATCGTGTTTCTAACCATATCCTTTTACTTAATTCCTATATCTTTTGTTTCTGCATTAACAACACTTGCTAACCTGAAGAAACTTCTCCCATTTTTAGAGCCAATTCTCAAATTCAAAACCATTGAGACAGTATTAGAATCTTATCTTCCCCAGTTTGTTCTGTACATATTCATGCGTTTTTTACCCAAGTTTCTTTTGTTTCTCTCCAAAATCGAAGGAATTCCTTCTGAGAGCCATGCAGTAAGGGCCGCATCTGGGAAATATTTTTATTTCATTGTGGTGAATGTTTTCATTGGAATTGCAATTGGAGGAACTATAATCAGTACAATCAAGAGAATTGAGAAGAATCCAAATTCCGTTGTTACTATACTGGCTGAAAGCCTCCCAGACCGCGCAACTTTCTTCCTCACCTATGTGGCTCTGAAGTAAGTTTAAGCGTAATATCTTAGCTTAAGCTTCCATTGACTTTTGATTCTTCACTTACTATAAATTTTTGTATCACAGCATTTTTTTGGGCTTTGGACTTGAGCTTTCCCGAATAGTTCCTCTAACCATATTTCACCTGAAGAAGAAGTATTATTGCAAAACCGAAGCTGAGATAAAGGCATCTTGGATGCCTGGAGGTCTCAGCTATGGAAAAAGAGTTCCTAGTGACATGCTTGTGATCACTATAGTTCTCTGCTACTCAGTCATGGCTCCCATTATCATCCCATTTGGAGTGCTTTATTTTGGTTTAGGATGGCTCGTTCTGCGTAATCAGGTTCTCCTTCACTATTTTTCTCTCCTCCTATTACCATTTTTGTCAAATTTAATTTTGTATTAAGCAAATAAGAAGAGCCTTCTCCCAAAAGAATTGAAAACTTGCAACAAATATGGTTTTTGTAAATTTAATGTTGTGTTTAAGCAAATAAGAAGAGCCTTCTCCCAAAAGAATTGAAAACTTGCAACAAATATGGTTTTTGTAAATTTAATGTTGTGTTTAAGCAAATA